CCTGTATTTTGTCTGGGGCCCCCAAATCACTAAATCCGCCCCTGAGTTTAGTTATGTTAGCATGTGTGGAAATGCTTAAACCATGTGTGTTTATTTATTTATTTAAATAGAAAATAGGGTTTATCCTTCTGGCTATGATGGCTTTTTAATAAATCAGTGCCTTCACTTGTATCTCAACCTTCCTAGACACAACAATTCAAACGTCTCAATGAAAATGTATCAATAGAATTAGTCTCTAACACCAGGGAGTTGATGTGGCTCCAGAAACAGCAGCTGGCTGCTCTCTAATAGTGTAAATGACATAATGAAAGAATGGTGTGGTGGTGATATTCACAGATCAATTCTTCACTACCAGGAAGAACATCTTCATTCCCTCTGGCCACTAGACAGTCCACGGTTCCCAGCAGAGGACTAACAAAAAGGTAGTGGAGATGCTTCAAAAAACACATTTAGTTTTTTAAGGTCAGACGGCAGAGAACGAGCAACCTACTTACAAACTGAGCTTTTAACTGAAGGATTCATTTGCAGTATTGCAGAGGCTCTTGGCTTTACGCGAAAGACGCGTCACACCTGCACAGCGAACAGGTGGGAGGAATCCGCGCTCGAGGACTGGAGACGGCAGTGAGCAGACGTCCACATTTGCCACAAGAGGGAGAGAGATGCTGATGTGTGTGAAGGACTCGTGAGTTCCACAGATGAGACTGATGAAACATCACAATGACACGCGTCTCTCAGCTCCTGAAAGTCGGTAAGTTTAGTCTCAACACGGGATGAGGAAACTTCATCGTTCGGCACAGGGTCATATTTATATTCAACATCATGTTGGACAAAGTGTTAAATGTTTAGTTGTAACCGTTACAGCTCAAACTGTGTAATATTTAATTATTGATGTCTACTAGTGCTATCATGAACAGCTTGCAGCATAAACCGCTCTAATGTAATTAAGTGAAAGGGCAGCAGACAGAAATATTGATTTTAATTTCAAGAAGACTAAAATTGTAAGAACGGCTACGTACATCATACTACCTCTTCTGATTATAGCATTAAAGCATATGGTGCATCATGACAAAATAATGATCAACATTCAGCTCATGTGTTATAATGCATCATACTATTTATCATTTATATGCTATGAAGTGATAATGTATAATGACCGTGATTACAATTATATATATCATCATAAGGCAGTATGTATACCTTTTTAATGCATTGTTTATGCATGTTTCATATTAAGTTAAAGCAGAATGTTTATAGGATATTACATGTTGTTGTGGTGCCAGGACGGCAAAATGTTTAATAATGTAAAATGACAAATTTCTGCTTTGAAATAAGCATCACACTCTTTTAATCTCGCTCTAAGTCTCTTATTGCAAGACCTTAAACTGTTTAAAGAGAGAGACATTTTCAAAATGGCATGTTTTACAATCCAAAGGTTTTTGCTTTGCAAAGATGTATAATTTTATTTCTGCTTATTATTTTTTTGAAGATCTATGATTATTCACTCACCCCCATGCCGTTCCAAAACTTTGTATGATTTTCTTTCTTCGAACACAAATGATGAAACTGTGAATAATAATCTGCTCGCTTTTTTCCATACAGTTATAGTGAGGGGGGAGACGAGGCTTTCAAGAAATTAAAGGCATCATAAAAGTTCTATAAAAGCTATATTGCAAGTTTTCTGAAGCCATGCGATAGCTTAATGTGAAAAACAGAAATTATAGTTATTAAATAATGATTTAATCTAGTGCTGCTGTGGTGAGTCAGTGAGTTGATGAGTTCATTCAAATGCTTTTGTGAACAGATTTACTTTAGAATAAGACTTCTTTTCACTAACACGTTTCATTTTTGAGTGAACTGCTCTTTAAACTCAGATAGACATAATATTATTTGCCACACATTAATGTCAGTGTTTAATATGTGGCTTGTCTCCTGCTTTCTTCTCCTGGAAATGCAATCTGAAACCATTTCAAAAGACAAGAACATTCCTGGGTCATGACCACTGACTGCTAGAAAAAGACTAGTGAACTTTACGACACCAGAAACCCATCAGAAATCAACAGCGCTCAATTGGCTTCTCTTGAATTCTCTGCCATGGAGGACGCAAACATCACTCACTTGGCAGCCGTCTTCGTGAACCCTCATAGTCAGGTGCCCGTTCTGGACGTTCACGACACTTACACTGACTTCTACGACATGGACTATGGTGTTCCTTTAGAGGAGATGCCGGACACCACGCAGGGACTGGCCTACTTCGTGGCCACCATCGTCATCGGAGCCGTGCTCGTCTGCATCATTCTGGTGTGCGGCTTCGGCAACTTCCTCTTCATAGCCACTCTGGCCCGATATAAGAAACTCAGGAACCTCACCAACCTGCTAATCGCCAACCTGGCCATCTCCGACTTCATAGTGGCTGTGGTCTGCTGCCCTTTCTTGGTGGATTATTACGTGGTCAAGCAACTCTCCTGGGATCATGGCAAAGTGTTGTGTGCCTCCGTCAACTACCTCAGGACTGTCTCTCTCTATGTGTCTACCAATGCCTTACTGGCCATCGCCGTTGACAGGTTGGTGTGATTTAGATATCGTACCTCTGTCCTGCTAGACAGTTGAAAGGAAAGCCCGGGGCTGGGTTGCATATTCAGCGGGCAAAATATCGTTGGCTTTCAGATTCATGCATTATGCATTGAGCTTCCTGAACAAAGCACTTCACAACATACTGCTCAAATAGATGATTGTGAGAAAATATTTCCTACTCTTCAACAAAAGCTTTCCAGTAATTGAGTAGGATTTAATAATCTACTGTGTATTATCCTTTATTGGCAACAAATCAAGTGAACCTCTTCACTAGGAAAAATACAGCTGTACTTAAAAACAA